ATGCTGTCTCTTCTAAAAGTGTCAGCTCCTTTTCAGAATCTGTCTAATTGTTCATTTTCCAGTATCTTCAGTTCTTTTTTTTCTTCCAATTTTGTCCAGAATATATAGTTATATGCAAGAAAGGTCAGTTCCAGCAAAGCTTACTTGACTATACTGCAAGAAAAACCATTGTGATGTTATTTTTTTAAATTTACTTCAGCTTCACTGTGTGTGGATATATAGATTATCAAAAAAAAAATTTTTTTTAAGTTTTATTTATTTAGGAATAATCTCTACACCCAACATGGGCCTCAAACTCATGACCCCAAGATCAAAAGTCACATGCTCTTCTGACTAAGCCAGCCAGGCACCCCAGTATAGGTTCACTTTTCTTTTTTAAAAAAAGAGAGGGGGCGCCTGGGTGGCTCAGTCTTTAAGCATCTGCCTTCGGCCCAGTCATGATCCCAGGGCCCCAGGATCGAGCCCTGCGTCGGGCTCCCTGCTCAGCGGAGAGCCTGCTTCTCCCTCTCCCTCTGCCTGCTGCTTCCCTGCTTGTGCTCTGTCAAATAAATAAATAAAATCTTTAAAAAAAAAATAAAAAGAGAGAAAGCGTGCATGCATGAGTGGGGGAAGGGGCAGAGATTGAGGAAGAGAGAGATCTTAAGCAGATTCCATGCTCAGCATGGAGCCAGACGTGGGGTTGAATATCATGACCCTGAAATCGTGACCTGAACTGAAACCAAGAGTCAGACGCTCAAGCAACTGACTGAGCCATCCAGATGCCCCTAGATTCACTTTTAATAATTATTCTGAATAATTTCTTTTTTAACTTGTGTTTTCCTACTGTAATCATTTATCACATAACAAAAACTCTGCTGGGGGGGTTCAATAATACAATTTTTATTAATAAATTATGAACATCTGGGGGCACCTGGCTGGCTCAGTCAGTACAGTGTATAACTCTTGATCCTGGGGTTGTAAGTTTGAGCCCCCACATTGGGTGAAGAGATTACTTAAAAAAAAAATTGTGAACATTTTCACATAATAGCAGGAACTCCAACTTTGACAGCAAATTGACAATAACTAGAAAAATAATGCACATTCCTAGAAGTTAAATTGATAAGCAGTGGCACTCTGACCCTAGAGAAATATCTGTATATGTGTAAAACCAGACAAGTACAAAGATGTTAACTTCAGCACCGTCTGTAAGTGTAAAAAATGGAAAATAATCCACATCCTAATCAAAAGGAAAGTAACAGAGATAAAATGGATTACTGTATATAAAGCTGTTAAAATGAATAAATTATTCACTTCATTCAAATTTTATATATTTCAATATGGAAAGAGTTAAAAAAAAAAAAACCCCTAATGTTGAATGAAACAAGTTGCATAACAAAGATGGTAATATTAATAAAGGTCTGAAAACACAAAACAATACTACATACACATACATTTAAAACAAGCTGGAAGGATTTATCAGGTCCGTGATGGTGGTTACCTCTGGGGAAGGGAAGAAGGGAGTAAGTGGGTCAGGTGGTAATCAAAGGGTTCTTTAGTTTGGAAGCAAATATGACCATTAATGTTAATTCACAGAAGTTAATTCTACATAAAGAAATACGAGTGTATATCTTTTTGTACTTTTCTATATTTTTCCATTTCTTAAAAAAAAAACAATCTATAACAGCTCCAATGGCTGCATAATATTCGACTGCACAGATAGGTAATAAGACATGGAGATACCTGCCAATATTTTAGACAGCACTACAAAAAACATCTTTGTAGGGGCACCTGAGTGGCTCAGTTGGTTAAGCATCTGACTCTTGATTTTGGCTCAGGTTGTGATCTCAGGGTCATGAGATCGAGCCCCGAACCTGGCTCCATGCTGGGCGAGGGGTCTGCTTAAGATTCTCTCTCTCCCTCTCCCTTTGTTAGAGCTCTCTCTCTAAATAAAATCTTAAAAAAACAAAACAAAAAACCCCCAAAACCTCCCAAAAAACAAAAAAACCCCACATCTTTGTAGTTGTTTTTGCACATCATTTTTTTCCTTAGAATAAATTCCTAGAAACAAAACTGCTAGATTAATTCTAGGACTGTTACATACTGCCAAAATGCCTTCCAGAAAAGTTGTAAAAACTTACATCTACCTATCACCAAAATATATACCTGCCTATTTCCTTGCATTCTTGCCAATCTGGATACTAAAATCCAAAAACCTGTCTTCACCCAATTAGGTGTATGAGCAGGATCTAAATTTTCCCCAAACAATTAGTTATACCATAGATCATACCATAATGATTGAACTATAATATCATAAAGGAAATGAAACTTATGCTTCATTACAAACTTGTATAAAATATACCATAAGACAGCAGAAGAAAAAATACCATTAATATTTTTCATTGTTTCTTTTGCCTATTTTCCCCAACAATTTTAGGCAGAACCTAATTACAGAACTGGTTTTACTTCAAAGGGAAGACTATTCAGATGTACTACTTAGAACTAGAGACTGATGTATTTTGCTGAAGTAGTTGTATTTTAAAATATTTATTCATAAAGTAAGACAATTTAAAAAGGTTTTCTATTTTGAAGCCTGCAAAAGAAGACCTTTTAGCTTCTTGGTCTCATTATACCGGTCTTTAATTAGCATCTAAAAATGTCTACTAATGATAGAATTTGGCCAGTAACAAATATCCTAAATTTCCATAGCCCATTTCACCTTTCACAACAGATTAAATAACTCAGTTAAGAATTACTAATAATTAGTATTTACACAGTACTTTGTTTACTACAACACTATAAAGCAGGACAAAATAATTATTACCATATTAACAGAGGAAGATGCCAAACCAGTTAGGTGAGTTATCTGAGGTCACATTGAAGCAGGAATTTGCCAAAATTAGACACTGAAGTCCTTGTAGCCTAATTCCTATATGCCTTATCATTCAAAAAAACAACCTGTAAGAATTATGACAACAACTCATAAAGAAACCTAGAATATACCAGAGTCGGAGAATCTTATTATTAAAATGATACTGAAGATCATCTCCTTCAACATCCTCATTTTACAGATAAGGAAACTGAGGCCTCAAAAGGTGATATAACTTAATTGTTCAAAGCTTTCTAGATGCTGTAAAGCAACAATGAAAATTCAGCACTCCTCAATCCAAGCTCAGCAATCTTCAATTACTAGAGTATAACAGCTATCCTTAACTGCCACTTCAAATTTTTTAGTTTATAAAACAGTCTCAATGTTTTCACTGATACTGAACAATTCATTCACTTAACAATGAACAAATAATTATCCAGTACCTACTACATGCCAGGTCCTGTACTTTGTGCTAAATGAGTATTTATTATATGCTAAGCACTGCATTATCTGCATGTCCACATTTGATCCCCATAATATTATTACAAGGTAAGCACAACTATCTCTATTTTAAAGATTAAAATTTAGAAAGACTAAGTAATCTGCCTGTGGTCTTCAGGAAGGAAATAAAAAGTAAAGGGTGCCCTTCTGCCGCAGCTGAAGAGCTGCAGCCACGGCTCTGCAAACCCCATGGTCATGGACCTCAACAAGGACCACAAGGTGACCAATAACGTGAACAAGCCAAGGAACTTCTGCCGGCATGAGCACCTAACCAAGCACATCACATCAGTGTAGGACAAGATCCGAGAGGTGTGCGGTTTCACTCCTTTTGAGAGGCACCCCAGCAGGAGGAGCTGAGCAGCGTTCTGGCTGCCACCAGGATAGGAAAGTGGCTGCTAAGGGCTGGACCTCCTCCCCATTCTGTGCATAATAAAATGTTTATAAAAAAAAAAAAAAAGGAAATGGTATAATCAATTTTATCAGTTTATCCTAACAAAAAAAATCTTACTTTTATTTTAAATATTGTAACTCTGTATATGATTTCATTTGAAAAAAGGGATCTACTGTCAAAGAAGCCTGGAAAACCACAGAGACCCCTACATAGCATTTAAGAGTGACTGTACAGTGAGTGCAGAACTTAGGGGTTGTGGGTCCCTTTTGGAAGCCTTTAAATGTCCTTTTCTTCTTACACCTTCCAAGATCCCAGAACAGATAGCATTTGCAGTAATTTAACTGAAGGCTGATTTCGAGAAAAGTAATCATTCAAATAAAGAGAAGACAAAGGAGGGCCCCTGGGTGGCTCAGTTGGTTAAGCGACTGCCTTTGGCTCAGGTCATGATCCTGGAGTCCCGGGATCGAGTCCCGCATTGGGCTCCCTGCTCAGCGAGGAGCCTGCTTCTCCCTCTGACCCTCCCCCTTCTCATGTACTCTCTCTCATTCTCGCTCTCTCAAATAAATAAATAAAATCTTTAAAAAAAAAAGAGAAGACAAAGGGAAAAGCTTCTAGTACCACATAATAAATCTGGCCTGAAGAGTATTCAGTAAGGTCCAAAGTAGAAGAATGCATGACTTCTCTTAAGCAATACTCACAAAACAGTACTATAATACAATACTGGTTACCTACTTTCAGAGCATAAAATCTCTGTAGTATAAGATCAAATTAATTAAAAGTTTCATTTGCTGTCGTTCCCAGCAGGAATTCCTTTATCTTTGATTGCTAAATAGATTTCACAGGGCCCACAGCAAAAAACCCAAGTGCTAAGCAGTGCTACTATTATGGAGATTTAAAAGTAAGCTTTGTGAATAAATAAATGCCTAATGATATTCTTAACGCAGCAACTGCTCTAGGGCCAACCTGTAAGGAAAGCAGAACCTTGAGGAAAAAAAACAAACCAAAAACCTGAAGCATAAAAAATGTTTTAAGGAGAATATTAATTTTAACAAGTGGTCTACTGCTTTGGGAAATATTTGTATAAGAAAAACAAATCAGGCAACCACAAAAAAAAATTCTACCTTTCCCCATTACGCAGTGTTGTTTTTATTCTAGCCATAATTTTGGTGATATAAAATCAGAGACTTAGAAAAATGACACTCTGATAAGTAATCAATCACAGCAGAATTAATCACATGTAGTATTTCTAATGTAAATGATTACCTGAGAAGTTTGTGAGAAGTCTTGCTAGGGCTTGCTTGTTTACCACTTCAGTCTTTCTAAGGCTCGAAATAGTATCTACCCTAGGAGTTTCTTTGCTAATTGTGGGCTTCTTGGAAATCCCAAGATCAGATCCAGTATTAACTTCTGTGTGTTCTAGGACATCATACGATCTCTGAAGCCAAGAAGATTCTGGATCACATGTGAAAGTCTGCTTGAGTATTTCTTCAGGAGAAGATTCTACATTATCCAGTACAGAAGCTGACTTCTCAACCTTCCTTTCACTCAGTTCCTTAAGTGCTTTGATTGTGAGCTGTTCCTGTTCTAAGTCAAGAGATGCTGCTGGAGTACCCTGGGCAGGGAAAACATCCAGAACCGTACTTTCATTAGTTTCTTTGCTTTGTTCAGTGTGTTTGCTTTTTCTGTCTTTAATTTCAGAACCACCTGATTCATTTTCATGCAAGATTTCCATAGCAAGAGTTGTTTTAAAGTCTGCAGTCTTCTCTGATGTTGCCTGAAAGGCATTTCCTGCACCTTTATCTACAATTCCTTCCTCTCTGGTTTCTGTAAAGGCTGCTATCAGGTCCCCTGGGGAAGAATCATCTGCACCTTTAACACTTTTTTCATGTAATGACTCCAAATAGGCAGAGGTTGTCACATTTAGTGAGAATTCTGTCTCTGGAAGAACACTTGGAGACAGAGCTGAAGGAAGTTTGCGGTTCTCGGTTGCAACAGGCTTTTCAGGATCAACTTCACTCATACTACCCGACTGCTCCACCTCTTCTGACGTGCCATTCAGATCAGGTACTTGTGAACACGCTGCCTCACCAGCTGGACTCCTTTCAAGAATATCAGGCTGAACTTGCGCTGCCTCAGAGCCACTGACTGGCCCTTCAAAGTTTTCAGATGTTTTATTTTCCCTATTGCAATTGAAAATCTCTTCGATTTCTCTTTCATCTCTTTTTACAATAGCACTTGGAATGGAAACAGGTTTTTCAGCCTGAATTTTGTTACTTTCAAATGAAATACTGGTTGTAATGTCCTCTATTACTGTGTCATCAGATTCACCAGAACTATCAGCCTCTGTGGCTTCTCCTAACACAGAGCTCTGCCAATTCATTTCACCTTTCACATGGCCATCAGGTAAGACCACTTTCACATTAGCCACTCCAGAACCCAAAGAGAGACTCTTCTCAAAAGGAGATCCAGGTAACTCTGAAAGTGTGTTATCTTGTTTCTGTACATTGCCTCCCACACCTTTGATACTGATTTCCTTCGTGGAATGGAGACCGTCTGGCATAGGTTTTTCCGTGACAGCATTTTCTCGTGGGAGAGATGCCTGTGCCCAATCACCTGCTGATTTAATGATGGGAGTGCTCCCACTAATAGAACATACAGGAAATTTCTGGTGAGCGTTAGTCTTAAGATTTACAATTGGGATTTCTGAATTATATTCACTCATATCAAGTCCTGTAGTTTTTGTGATGTAGTCAGATTTACTGCTCTCTTCTTTCGCTTGGGGAACCAAATCCCAAGTCAGTATTTCATTAGTAAAGTTATGCATATCATTCACACATCTAGACACTTCTTCCAATGCCGCAGTTGTGTGCGAAAACTGTCTAGTGAGCAATGCAGAGGTTGGGTAACGCCCTGCCTCTTTACTTCTCAGTGGAAATAGTTTGTCATTAGACTCCAAAATGTCTGCAGATGATTCTCTATCAATGTGCACTGCCCACCTACCAAAATCATTTGTGCTCTCCTTACAGGCATCTTTAAATTCTTTGTCAAATCCTTCTTTGTCAATAATTACTTCAAATGGTGACTCAGGGGAATCCTTTTCAGTAATACCACCTCCTGAAACTTCAGATGGGGATAAGGAATATGTACAAATGCCTTCTGCCTTAGGCTGCTGGGCGAGTGGTTTCTGGGCTGTTAGCAAAGTGAACTTGTCATCAACATCCAAGCCAGTTTCATCACCCGTACCTGGTACCTCATTTGGGTTCCTGGACTCCTGATTTTTATTTATTTGCTGTTCCATTAGACCAACTTCCTTTGAGAGAAAAGCAGGACGATCAGGGAAACTGACCGGAATGGAAGGATGGTTACACTGAACTCCTTCTGCAACAGAAACTGGGGAGTATGCTATGTCTTTACTAGTCCCTTGAAGCTTTTCCATCTTTTTCACATCTAGTAGATCCAAACGGTCTTTTCCTCCTTTGGCTAAAATAGGCTGGCTGCCTAACACTTTGCTTTTTTCTCCATGTAGTACTGTAAGGTCAGTGTTATGCATTTCAGAAGACGAAAAAAGGGAGGAAGTCATAATTTCTGAAGGTGGCTCATCAGAGCAAAGAGAGCTCAATCCCTCTATAGTCAGAATTTGAAAGAAAAAAGTTTGTTTACCAGGTACAATGACACATTAGCTAGTCAGGCCAAGCAGCATGCTTTTCATTTTCAAGTTACATATATATATAGACACACACACACAGGATGTATATATACATACACACACGTAAATATGTAACAAAACAATGATCAACAATTAACCTATAAAACATGCATAAAAGTGCCAAGAGTGAAACAGAAAAGCTGTATCATGCTACAAATTGCAGATGACAAAAAATTTTCATGACAAATACTTTTCAGTCTACTTTTTCCATTGTAAAAGTAGAGCATAAAGAAGTATAATGAGATTGGGAAATCTGGGGAAATTTTTTTTTCCTTTTTTTTTTTTTCCTGGTAGAGCTATTCAATGTAATCCATACATAACTCAATATTATGAAGTACTGATATGTTCTCATCTGTAAGCTGCATAATTCAGTACACAGAGTTTCTACAAATCCACTGTTATAGTCTGACAGTTTGAGAAGGAAAAAAAAAAGTGACCACAGTTCTTTTTGATTCTTAGAAGATACAGTGGATCCCTCCTGAGCCTAAGAATCAGACTAGAATTATTCTATTCTATCCACAGGGAAGATTGGTCTCAGGTACAGACGGCCTCATTTTAAACTAAAGAGTATGAAATGGTTGGCCTGCTCCAAAATCTCTTGCACCAACTTGCCAATTTAACCAACACTGAACTGTGCAAACTGGTAAGGTTTGTTCTGTGGTTAAGAAGAGTTAACGCCAGAAACCCTTTTAAAAGAGAAAATATCCTTCTAAAAGTAATACATTAATTAAATCTTATTAGTTATTAATACTACAACAGCCAGTGATTTATCATATTGTTTTCCAACTTTCCAATCTAGCAAGTTTTTCCAGAAGAAAAGATCAAAACAACTGTCCCAAGGTAAGTGCTGTCTCTCTTGCACATTGTTATCATCTCTGGAGTTAGAACAAAGTAAGTCTTAAATAAATAGTTCCAAATGAGTGAATCAAAGACTGTTTGGCCAGGTGAGACCTAAGCAGGCTCAGGACAGCACTGCCTTGAGTGTGAATGAGTGTGAATTTATGAAAGAGAAAAACCTTTGGGATTACTTTTATTCAGCTTATATTCTTTTTCATGTGAGAAGCTGAATAATAGAAGCAAAATTGTGACTTTATTCAAAATCATTTCATAAGACTGAAAAGAAATAAAAACTAAATATCTTACTCCAAAAAATAAAATTTAACTATTATAAAAATGTTTCCAAATGCCAGATAAAGTTCCTCTATTTCAACACATCACTGAAATTTCATGTAATAGGATATGACCTTTAGAACAGTTTAACTGTTATCTGGGTATTGGGGGAAAAAGTTTTTGTAAATTGAGGAAAAACACAGTTTGGTGGTACAAACTGTACTAGTGGGACAGAAAATACTTGAAGCAAGCTGTAATTCACATTTACTTTTTTTTTTTTTAAAGATTATATCCATTTATTTGACAGAGAGAGACACAGCGAGAAAGGGAACACAAGCAGGGGGAGTGGGAGAGGGAGAAGCAGGCTTCCTGCGGAGCAGGGAGCCCGATGCAGGACTCGATCCCAGGACCCCGGGATCATGACCTGAGCCGAAGGCAGACGCTTAACAACTGAGCCACCCAGGCGCCCCAATTCACGTTTATTTCTAATGTAGTAAAGATGGTTTGCATCTATTATTATATAGTATCGTTATTTAGTACTCAGCAAGATCAAATTAAGGAGACAATATAAATGAAGCTCAGCATTATAGATTAAAAGGTTCAAAACCCTGAAATTTAAAGAACTACATTTTTAGTAGTTCATTTGTAGGCTACATTTAAATCAGAAATATTCCATGATCTGAGCTATGTTGTTATTACTGAACTTATTGGTTACTGTTTCTACCATGAAACATTCAATGGATTAAATCTGGATTAAGGTAAAACTGGGAACCCCTCCCTTCAAACATGAATGGAACTCTGACATGATCAAAACTGACTCCACCTTACAGGGAATGCTTGGCTTGTATATTTTATAGAGACTGAGATATCAGATAATTTAGACCAGCCATCTTATAGACAAAAGTGGACACAATGAATTAATAATTCCACAAATATTAATCGAGTGCCTGTCATGTGTCAGACACTGCCTTAGAAACTAGATTAACAGTGGTGAACAAAACAAAAGATCCTTGAGTTTGTGGTGCTTAAGAGTACCTGCACCCAGAGCAGGAGACAGACAATAAGCAAAATCAGTAAGTAAAGTGATGATGTGGTGGTGGTGGTGGGCCTGAAGAAATGAAAAAGAAAGCAACCTGGGGTGCCTGGGTGGCTCAGACGGTTAAGCGTCTGCCTTCGGCTCAGGTCATGATCCTGGGGTCCTGGGATCGAGCCCCGCATCGGGCTCCCTGCTCAGCGGAGAGTCTGCTTCTCCCTCTCCCTCTGCCTGCTGCTCTGCCTACTTGTGGTCTCTATCTCTCTGTCAAATAAATAAAATCTTAAAAAAAAAAGGAAAAGAAAAAGAAAGCAACCTACCCTGAATGCTAATAGAAGAATGTGCACATTACTGGGGGAAAACGCATGGTGGAACCATTCTAACATGCTTTGTCAGGACACAACCTGGTCAGTTTTCCAAGCCTTGTTTCTCTCCTTTCTTCTTTGAACTCTTAATACTCCAAAAGTTTTAAGTTAGGTATATAATAATCTGAGGTAAAGCCAGAAGATTAGGTTAGAAATCTTATTCTCAGAATACTAGCAAGTCCTGCAATAAATAAAACTTATAACATTCTTTAATTAAGACTCTTTAATATGATGTCACTATTATGCACACACAAATAACTTTAGTCATATTTCCTAATAATTTTGTGACAATATATGGAGTGGATAGTGCTTTCTCGGGGGTTAGCCTAGGGTGCAAACAGAGCTCAATGCTGCATTAATTTCTCTGAGACTGTGAGATACAGGCACTAGCTCTCACCATTGTCAATCAAGCTTTCCCACATGTAGCAAAATAAGTTAGCATCCTCATCTGTGCTTCAACTTTAATTATCATGTTTAGAATTTCAGCAAATGAAAGGAAGTTTCTTTGGCTAGTTGAAACCCTAACAAACTTGGACAGAGCTGACTTGTACAGAGACAATGGAAAAAACTGGGCTGGAAGTAAAAAGTTTATAAAGGCATGAAAACATTAAATAGAACGAGACCAGAATCTACTAAGCCTTTTTTAGAACAGCTCCCATAAGCAAAGACTCTTCCAATTAGTGAGTATGGCACTTAATAGTCACTGGTGTTGTCCAAGTCTGTAAAACAGCAGAAATCGCCAGGGAGTTTGAAGGTTGTTAGTTTTTAAAATACCAAACACTGTAAAACTGCCTGATAGAATGACTCTGGATCATCTTACATCTCAGAAAATGTCCATTCCCTTTTCCTTTTCAAAAGATCCAACCGTTCATACGCACTACAAGAGACTTTCAACATTACTCAAAACCAATGTCTGTCAAAAAATTCCCTCATTATGAATATTTTTAGTTATTTGCTGTAATAGGATTTAATGTGCATATTCATTTTCAAGAATTCTAATTACTTAAAAATATGGTATGGCTCTATACACCTAATAAGTTTGTTGAAAAAGGGAATTATAGGGCGCCTGGGTGGCTCAGTTGTTAAACAACTGCCTTCGGCTCAGGTCATGGTCCTAGGGCCCTGGGATCGAGTCCCACATCGGGCTCTCTGCTCCGCGGGAAGCCTGCTTCTCCCTCTCCCACCCCCACCTTGTTTGTGGTTCCCTCTCTCACTGTGTCTCTCTCTGTCAAATAAATAAAATCTTTAAAAAAAAAAAAAAAGGAATTATATATGGTAGAGGTGAAAAATGTCATAACCCCATAATAATCATGAGAATGTTCCCAAATTTATCCAGTACTGAGCTGTTTGCTTACCCGTATCTTCCTAAGGTCTAAATACTTATAAGTCTCCACTTAAGTGTACTATCCGAAATAAGACTAGGAAATTAAGTTGGCAGTCTAAATTTCTAGACTGCTCCCAGACCAAAAATTCCTATTAAAAGATGCAAAATCATTTGATCACACTTACTAATCGTGTGGCCTTGGCAAGTTGATTAATCTCATCTAAAAAACGGTGATACTAAAGCACCTAACTTGAGAATTGCTGTGAGGATTAAATGAGTTAATAGGTGAAAAGTTCTTAGAGCACTATCTGGCACTTAGTAAATCCTCAGTAAATGTCCCCAGACACCACATTCTCAAAAAAAAAAAAAAAAAAACGCTTGGAAGGCTCAGTGATAAAAGGTCTGCCTTCAGCTCTGGTCACTCCCTCTGCTTGTGTTCCCTCTCTCGCTGTGTCTCTCTGTCAAATAAATAAAAAATTCTCAAAAAAAAAAAAAAAAAAATCTCCTGACATAGAGACTCCAGATCATATGCTTTTTTGATAGGGGAGAGTATATAAATCCTCATTCAGAGTTTTAGACACTTTTCCCTCCTACCATTCTCAAATAAAAGTAATTTAAAGAGCTTTTATCTATTTCAAAAATTTGGGTGATGCAACTTCTGAATCAGTTATTACAAAACAAATGCCTATGGCATTCCAAGAATCATACTGGATTCTATGTAGGTAAAGACATTTAAGACGGTCCAACACATAAAAAAATGGAAGGCAAGGTTGAAAGAAAAAAGAACTTTTTCTGAACAAAATGTTTCATTTTACCACCACCAAGGCCAAAGTATATTTTAGTTCAATGTACAACCAGCTGAACAATATAACAACCTGGCACAAAAACAGTCTTGGATGACGTCTTTTACACTCCCTTTCAAACTTTAGAACTACTAGTACTTCATATATTATCTCTGCCTTACTGACTCAGAATTTCCTGAAATGGATGCAATCTGCATTACAAGTTTCCTAGGTAATGAACCTGGTTTGAAAACCAGAACTTTATGAATTTTAGAAAGGTAGAAAAATTGAGCTGTACTTCAGAACTCTAGTCTTGTAAAAATCCCACAGGAGATGAACCTGACGCTTTTCACTCTCACTCTTGCCCCTGTCCTTGTCCAGAAGCACAGCTTACAGTTTAGTAGGGCATGGGTGGTCCTTTTGTGCCTGCTTCAAATACTTCTATCTACTAAGTTTAAAGTATAGTAACTCGAAATTTTGATTGGAATAAGGCAAAAGCTCCATTTGATTGGAGAATAAGGTGTGGGAATTCAGGAAGAATTTTCCCTCTTCCTTGCCTGCAGTATTTTATATCTCAGAACAAGGTGGGGAGTTAAAAATGACATGAAAAATCAACTTCCAAGTGAATACTGTGTTCACATCAAGTAAATACACTCGAATTGAAAAAAATCTCTTCATATATTGTTTACTCTATCCTTCAAAATAGTTTCTCTTTACTTTGTTTCTTGTCCCCCAAACTGCCTTTTCAAAAAAGACTCAGTATTTTTATTCAGGTGTTGGTAACTTAATTACTGAAAACAATGTGATCTAGAAATAAGTAATTAATAATGAATATTATATCCTATTATCAGAGTACTTCCTAAAAAGAGTGAATAGCTTAGAATCCTGTTTTAGATACCATTTGGTTACTTTCCAACCCTCCTAAGGAAATTCATTACTTTTAATTAAAAGGATAGCTGTAACATGGAAAAACCATACACATCAGCAAAGAAATACTATGCTTATTCATACAAGGGAGGCTTGAAATATTCAGGTATAGGTTTTCCTACACTTGAATTTTCTTATGTTCACGAAACAGGAAGGAAAGACAAATTCTCGTGCAAAACAGTATCAGCAACTTTCAGCCACAGCATCAAAATAGGAAGTTAGCCAGCAGACACTTTGCAGCCAAGCTAATCCTAAACAAAAAGTCTCTTCTGTACAAAGAAAAATGTTTTGCTTTTGTTAAAAAAAAGGCTGTAACTGGCAAATTTTTCCCTCAAATGCCTGCCCCAAAGTTCAGTGTTTAACTAACTTCCTATTCCAGATGCCTACTGCATTACTCAAATTGAATGCAAACGTTCATTACTACAAAGGTGCTTCCAGTTCTTCAGGTTCCTCTCTTTCCCATCTTATTTTTACCTACTTTTCTTCCATGCTCTCTAAAGAAAATCAGCGTATTTTTCAGCCTCCACTCTTTTCAAAGGTTTCAAAAGTAGAAACCAAATTTCAGTTTGATTTTGTGCTCATGGAGGGAGCAGAGCCCCCTGATGATACTAAATTTACATCACTAACAGCAGTAATATGGTTAAAATAGAATTTCTGCCTCTTCCCCTGCTCTTATGATTGTAACATTAACCTCAAAATGACATCTCTAAAAATATCTGCAAACACTAAAATACAACTAATATACTTTATCATAGGCAGTGTTTATGAGTATGGGCTTTGGAGTCCTACATCTGTCACTTATTCACTCTGTGATCTTGAGCAAGTTATTGCACCATTTTAAACCTGTGTCAACTGGTAAATGAGCTAGTACCTTTCCTCCATAAAACTGGCTGTGCGTATTGAAACAATTCACATAAAGTACTGAACACAGTAAAAGCTCAATAAAAACGAGCCACATCCTACATGTATACCTCTGTTAATATCTTTATTTTACATTACAGGAAAACGCCATTAAAATTTATTCCCCTATTTTGAAACACTTAGGGATTAGGCTGAAATTAAATTCTGCTTGATAAGAAAGAAGGAATCAAAAGAAAAGACTACAAAGGACCTACTCAGGAATACAACGTATTTAAAAAGAAATCGATTATTCTATTAATATTGTCATTACAAATATATTTAATAGCTGTCAAAAAGTTTGCTTTGCTAACTTAAATAGCTGTCTACTTCAAAGTAGTACAATTTAATAAATATTACATAATTTTCTTTTGAAAAATTTAACTGCCGTTCCTTTATTCAGTGCAAATTAATGGCAGTTTTTTGTATATTCATCTCCCTGAAGACCAATAATAACTATTTCAGGATTGAAGAGGTCATTCTCAAATATAAAAATGTCCTATTTAATAACTGCTATATATTGCTTAGATATATAAAAGTAAGGCTAATTCTCCAAGGCTAAATAAGTGGCTAAGAGTTATGGAAGCCAGAGACAGAGGAGTTAGTTGGGTTAATGCCAGTGATGGACTCAAGGTTCTTCTTGGTGGCAGCACTCTGAAAGCCCTGCATTGGGCCAGACTGGTCCCAGCAATTCTCTCCAAGGGGTTAATCCAGTTAAACAAGGACACCAACATCCTCTTTCCTTATTTTTATAAGGCATACTAGAAGCTACCATTCTTGGCTACTCTAGAATGCACCTAATCACTTGCCAAAGTGTTTCCTCAAACAACAGATTGATCTCTAGACCTGCCAATGAAGTAGAGCACCAACTGGGTTACTTTTCCATTACGTGTTTTTTTGCAGGAGAAAAATGCTAGTAGTAATAGAGGCTAGACTGGAACACCTTCAGGGATATGGCTTTTTTAACTGCCTCTTTATAATACTCTTTTAACAATAACATCCTGAATCTGCACTGCTCTAAATAACTCTTTTTAAGCAAAAAGGAAAAAATGGCAAATCTATTTTCTTTTACAAATTTTCATACTCACTGTGACGCTGAAGCCTACTTAAACATTGGTTTTTAATTAGCAAAATCCTTATTTACCTCTATTCTATTTGAATGTATGTTTCCCAATAGGACTGAAATAGTTTTTTAAGCTATAACAGTTATCTTGTCGACATTCCATACATTAGTTATGTTGTATTTGGCTTGCATTGTTACACTATTTAGGATATCGGTTATTCCCCTTCTGTATGAAAAAAGTGGCTGAAAGTTCTAACCATGAAGAATTGTATTTTAGGGCGCCTGGGTGGCTCAGATGGTTAAGCGTCTGCCTTTGGCTCAGGTCATGATCCCGGGGTTCTGGGATCGAGTTCCGCATCGGGCTCCCTGCTAGGCGGGGAGCCTGCTTCTCCCTCTGCCTCTGCCTCTCTCTCTCTCTCTGACTTTCATGAATAAATAAATAAAACATTAAAAAAAAATTGTATTTTAAAAGATCTAAAATATTTACAAGAGAAAATGTAATGATTTGTTCTATCTACATTATGCTATTTTTACCAGTTTATCTTCCAGAGTAGATTACATGTAATACCTACTTGCCTAAATTATTAAATTGCTCATAAGGAAAAAAACTCTTTAAAAAATCAATCTGGTTGGATTTCAGATGTCAAGTCACTTTATAGGTTTGAATTATTTTTCTAATATTCACAAAATATCTATCTTTTAATGCAAACACTTAATTTCAAAGGTCATGATTTGACCCACAAGTTACCCAAATTCACCCAAGACACATTACAAAGGGGCTGGGGGACCTAATATTATCAGTCTGATTTAAAAGCAACAAATTATCTACCATGTTTCATAAGAAATATGCTACATTCACTTTATCCCATTATGTTTTTATTCTTATAAGGTCAAAGTCTTGGGGCCCCTGGGTGGCTCAGTCGTTAAGCGTCTGCCTTCGGCTCAGGTCATGATCCCAGGGTCCTGGGATCGAGCCCCGCATCGGGCTCCCCTGCTCAGCGGGAAGCCTGCTTCTCCCTCTCCAACCCCCCCTGCTTGTGTTCCCTCTCTCGCTGTGTCTCTCTCTCTCAAAAATCTAAAATCTTAAAAAAAAAAAAAAAAAAAAAGGTCAAAGTCTTCCTACCAAACCAGCATCCAGACTTTGCATCTAGAGAATTCCAGCTGGGACAGTAATCTGTTTGCACAGGGCTTCTCAGACCTATCTAGTGAGTTTAATTACCTTTTTTTAAAATAAGGGTTTTCCATTGACCTATATTTTAGATTGAGTACACCAGACAAATGAAACTGTGCTTATTACTAGTGCGACTCGACAGAGCACATAGTGCTCTCTCTTACAGATTCTTGATAGTGCTACCCCCACAAACATATAGCTATCACACTCGATTCCCTTCTTCACTGGCTGGCAGATTAAACAAACAAACAACCCCACAAAGCCACAGCTTAATCTCTAGGAAAACAAGCCTTGCTTGCCAAAAAGTCAACTGACTTGTTCAGTGTTCCTAGGCATTTTGGAACCAGCCTCGCTCTTGGGACAAATCTCAGATAAATTCACACTAAAGTACTCTAGCTAAGTTAGTGTATTAGTAGTTCAGTGGAAGCACACTTTTATACTGTTTTTTCCAAATCTACTGTCTCTCCAAACCAGTGACATAACTGCAAATCAGTAGGTTAAATGCATCCTGCACTGGGTTGTGTTATGAGCCACAATTCTGTCTGCTCTAAATTCTAATTTTTAAGAAATGCTCAAAACTGCACCTAAAGCTTATGTGCTGTTAAAGGGTTCACCTACCTAGTCTTACCCTATTTTATTAACCTTTACAGGAAATCCAAAGCAAACTACTAAATATGAAGGACTGGCTTGTAGTTTTTATTTCAAGGGGTTTGGGAGCAATAGAAAACTTGCGCCTCATATCCCCAGTTACAGCCTCTTTCTCAACATTTTTCTTTTATTAATGCACACAAAAAAATGACAGACTTGCCTTGTGAGGTCGAAAATAGAGATACAGGCTGAGAGGAAGAGGAAGAAACAAAGGAATCTGAAAGAAAATATACAGCATGAGAATTTGACAACCTCACACAGGAATTTTAACTTTAACTCTCCAACTCTCCTTTTTTTTTGGCCAAGCATCATAATTTCATTGGGTTTAAACAAGAGGGGAAAACTCAAATCTTTATTTCCATTTACTGTTTACACTCACCTGGCAGCAAAATCTTATTTTATTTTCAAGATGCATTTCTAAAAGTTAATCAATTCAATTTTTTTGGTCAAATATTCTCACCTTCAAAGAAAGAAAAGAGGAACCTCTAGCATTTTTAAACAAGTATAACCTCAAGAAAGAGGATACTCCCCTGCAATTCTTTGTGGGAAAAAAAAATAGGTACCTGAGTACTAACTGATACTTGCTTTTAATCATTATCAACTGCATTTTGAAGAGCTGGTCACTAATACAAGCATTTGAAGTTATAAACTTGGCAAATATGCAAAGCTGACCCTGAATACTTAAAAAAAAAAAAATCACAAATAATCCATTAGGAAAATAAGACTGCACGAGAAATCTTCCACCTTCTAAAATTATAGTCCTCTAAATTTGGCAACATTTATCAAAATTGTAAATGCATGTACTGTCCCCACCAATAATAGTTATTCTTTTAATTTGGCCAGTTATGCCTCGAGAAATTTAACCTACAATATTAGCACAGAGTACAAACCCGTGTACATGAGAATATTCATCAGAGCACTGGTTATAAATATTAGGAATACTCTAAGTGATCATCGACAGGAAACTAAATAGTTATATCCAAACGATGGAATACTTGCTGCTATGAAAAACAGTAAAGTACAGCTATGTATGTTGATACAGTTGATAAATTAAAAAAGCAAAGTGCAGAAGTATATACTTGTGCCCCCCTTTGTTGCTAGCAAAAGGGACTCTGAGGTCTGAAATGGGGGAGATTGGCTTTTCACCACCACCTTTGGCCCTTAAAAAAAAATACAAACAAACCAAGCACATAATTCACTAAAAATGGAAAAAATTAATAAAAATAAAATGTGAAAAGCAGCCCCCCCGCCACAAAGTGCCCCTAAATATACTGGCCTTTACTCCTTTTTTCCTTGCAACTATAAAAATGTTTTCACAAATATTAGAAATATACTTAAAATAGGGAGATTGATTGCTTTAAAGGACTGGGCTATAGCTTGTATCGATAAATACAAATTTATTTAGTCAATAAATATGAAGCACATTAACAGCAACAGAATTTAGTAGACCACAGGCACAGTTCAGTAACTCAGGACCAGAATTTAAAAATTCACTACTTTTTAACTATCTTAAGATGAAGCATCACATTTACCACTACAAATGAAAAACTATTCTTTTTTGGTTGTTTTTGTTTTGTTTTTAGTAATCTCTACCCCCAACGTGGGGCTTGAACTCTCCACCCTGAGATCAAGAGTTGCACACTCCAACTGAGACAGCCAGGTGCCCCATCTCCTTTCCTTTTTTAAAGCAAGCATTTCTGCTTCTTTAATGTTTCCAGATGGGTTCATCCCTATATTTACCTTCAACATTAAATCTCTGCCAGATGATGAGTTTAAATCTGAATAAACCTGAAAAACCAAATGTTAATAAGTTCAGCCGAACGCCAAAAAGGATCCTATGAACTTGACTATCCACCTCCATGTAACACCCCCTCGTAATGGAAAATTTCAACATACAAATTCTTATACACAGCATCTATTCTGATACAAAACACAGATAACAAGTAACACTTTCCAAAAATATTGCATGAGATCTTCTAACTCACAAAACCACACTGTATTCATATTCCATATTTATGCCACAGGAAACTAAACTCAAGAATGGTGATCTTAATTCTCAAATGCTATTAATTAAATCAAACATTATCATTAATAACAGTAATCATTAGCTAGGTCCAGGCACTGTATCAGCACTGGAATACAGAGATGACAGCTATGCCCACATAACTGAAGGAGAAATACAAGCCAGTAAAACTGCATGAGTTGTCGGAAGGCAGCAGAGGCTGGTGAGTAGGGTACATTGCAGAAGAGATGGTAAACTTAGTCTTTAAGGTCATCAAGTCACCACGGCAGGGGAAGCCATTCTGGAGAGAAGGAATAACTTGCCACATTCCAAACGACTTTAAATGTCATGTAATGAAATTTGGATTATATCCTATATGTGATGAGGAATCACACTGACAATATCACAGGTGTTTTAAAAAGAACTATGGCAGCAGGTAGAGCATAGACTTAACTGAAAAGCTACTGCATAATCTTGGCATCAGTTTATTTGGTTAGTAAACTTAGCAAAGGTCTATTAGAGACTGGTTAAGTAAGTTTCCATATATCCATACAATGGTATACTATTCATTAAAAATCGTGCTGTGGGTAAGAATTTATTGACACTAGAAGTTGTTGATAGGACACTGAATAAAAAAGAACAGTACAAAAAAACTTAAACATGACCCAATTTTGGTAAAAAATACAAATTCATGTAAGATGAAAAAGGGATAATGATATTTACTGAGTAGATTATGAAAATTAAAAACAAATATTTTTTCTTCTCTGTGTTTTTGAAAATAATGAACTTGTATTCTTATTTCAAAAAAGCTTATTTTGTTACAAATGAAAGAATATATATGAAAATGTTAACTGGGTGGTTCTACTCGCTGATTTTTAATTTTCTTTGTATTTTTATTTTCCTAAATTTTGTTATGGACATACATTTTTCAAGAATTATAAATTCCTGGGATGCCTGGGTGGCTCAGTCAGTTAAGCATCTGCTTTTAGCTCGGGTCATGATCCCAGGGTTCTGGGATCAAGTCCCGCACTGGGCTCCTTGCTCAGCGGGGAACCTGCTTCTCCTTCTCTTGCTCCCCCTGCCTGTGCTTGATCTCTGTCAAATAAATAAATAAAATCTTAAAAAAAAATAGAATTATGAATTCCCAACACATACCTAATTCCCCACTTCTACAGGGAACAGGTTAGCAACCTTTGAAGAGAAAAAGGACACCTAAAATGGGATCTCTTACCAGGTCTTTCAATAAAACTTGAGTGAATAATCTTTTTAGTCTTTACACCACTAGATTTTCAATACTCGTAAGACCCTAATCTGCAACAAACAGTCAAAACTACTCCCCCACCCCCCGCCAAAAATCCTGCCTCTTTGAAAACAGGTCCTTCCATTTACTGAGTCCTGAATATTTGTGATTGACACTGAGCTAAATATTTATATACATATTAAATGAAATCTTTACAAAACTCATTTAAGATTTAAAAAAAAAACCCACAAAAACTTAAAGCTTTTATCAATACTTGAATCTGCAATTTTCGGGGCGCCTGGGTGGCTCAGTCGTTAAGTGTCTGCCTTCGGCTCAGGTCATGATCCCAGAGTTCTGGGATCGAGCCCCGCATCCAGCTCCCTGCTCCACAGGGAGCCTGCTTCTCCCTCTCCCACTTCCCCTGCTTGTGTTCCCTCTCTTGCTGTGTCTCCGTCAAATAAATAAATAAAATCTTTAAAAAACAAAAAACTGCACTTTTCTTTAAAGTCTGTGCCTTTTTTTATCATTCTACCAGTAAGATAAGATCTTGTCGCCTTCACCCTTCTCTCCAGCAGCATATTGAGTGGGTGAGAAGTGGAAAAACAGGAGGAAAAAGACCAAATGGCCCACTACTGAAGGTTTTCAAATTTGTGTCAAGCCTGTGCTAGATATTGTTGGGGGTAGAGAGGAGAGGAAGAGAGGTGCGTTGGATTGGACATGAGACTCAAGTTTTGATTGAGATGGGGGGAAAATAAACCAAATAAATCTGTTTGAATTTTCTAACCCCCAGTGAAAATACTGTTCCAATGAACTGTTCATTTTAGTGATAACTGTCCCTCAACACCAGCAGAATAAAAACTATATACATATATATTTTAAGATTTTATTTATTTGGGGCGCCTGGGTGGCTCATTTGTTGAGCGTCTGCCTTCCCCTCGGGTTGTGGTCTCGGGGTCCTGGGATCGAGCCCCGCATCGGGCTCCCTGCTCCGCAGGAGGCCTGCTTCTCCCTCTCCTACTCCCCCTGCTTGTGCTCCTTCTCTCGCTGTGTCTGTCAAATAAATAAATAAAATCTTTTTTTTTTTAAAGATTTTATTTATTT